GGCATCCACCAAATTTGGCCACAATCAGATCCTCCTTCAGCCACATCTGAGATTCAGAAATGTTGCTTGTCCACACAGAGCAAAACCGAAATGTTCCATCCTTCTCTGTTTGCTCACATAGAGCTCAGCCTTGCAAGGTCTGTAAACCTGATAAGAGCATCTCAATCAATTACATTCCTAATCATTGCATATGGGCAGTTTATGTGACTGAGGGACTCACATGCAACCAGGACAAAATTTTTTCCTATGTTCATCCACTTCAACTTTACATCCCTAAACCAATACATGTTCAATGAGACACAAAAATTTGTACTAAATCACTAACTATAAACACCAGAACTCCAACCACATCTTTGTAACATTTGAAGCAGCTGCCTTGGAAAAAGTGGAGAAACTACTAAAATTCTGCGAAGAATATAAGGGGAGAGACACTAAAATACATTTTGACCACCTAGTTTTCAAAAATAAAAAAAAGAGGTACAGCTGGAAACCACAAGAACCATGGAGTTGTTAGTGTAAATTCCACTGTTTTGCCCGTGATTTTATCAAGCTTATGCAACAACACAACACATTCTTGAAGTGGTGAACTCAACAGACTAAAATAATATCTATTAGTTTACCCTGAGGCCCTGGTTTCTTCTGTGTAATTTGGAAAACCTCCAGGGAACAGATGTATCCTGCCAGTCCAGACAAGCTCTGTTTACCACCTACTCCAATCAGAAGTTCATAACCCCTAGAAGCTTATAGGATAGGATTGATTCAGTGCCTGATGTCAAAACATAATAAAGTAACAGTAACATAAAATAACTTCAATAACTTTCTCAGCGAAGTTCCTAAATTCCTTTTAATTGCACCAAGACTTCTACCCCTCCCCTCTTTCTTTTTTTTTTTTGTCTGTTTTTGAGATAAAGTTCTCCTGACACCTAAAGGGACATTATCTTCACCTCAGCATTCTCTGTTTCTTGCAATATTTGAGCAAGTGGAAAGAAACATTCTTTTCCTTTATCAAATATTGAAGGTCTGCCAAGGAGCAGAGCAGTCTGGTTACACATTCTTTACATTGAGTTGCTCCAAAGCATCCTGCCAGGGATCTGGTGGGCCCTGACTGAACCCAGGAGACCCAGTGAGCTTGAAGGGAGGTTGACTGGGTTGTAGGAGCACATGAGAATTTCACATGTGGCAGTTTGCACCACAAAGGCCAAAGGACAATAAACCACTTAATGACAAATTTATATCAAGCTTTATTAACTCGTGGAATATCTCTCCCAGACTAATTAGAGCATGCTGTTATTTGCTGATCATAGAACATCATAGGAAGAATGAGGCCAGATGAGAACTTTGCCCAAAATTAGATGAGATCCAATCGCTAAAATTTTGAAATATGTGTATTGAGGTAATTCCTCCCACAGAAAACTATGTTTGAAACATTGAAAGAAATCTCTTGTCATTTATATTCTAATAAAATATAATAATATAATAAAATAAATAAAATATAATAAGCATCTAAAATTATTTTCAAAATTTATTTTTTTTAACATCAGATACAGATTCTAAGGGATGAAAGACCAGAGATTGGAGACAGCAGGTTGGACTTTTTGCTTAATTTTTGCTGCATGTGTTATTGAGATATCCCCTTCATTGTCTGTATGTCTCACGTCACTGAAAAAAATTATTGAAAAAATCCTTGAAAAAAACATTGATGAAAACCTTCTCAAATAAAGAGATAATGTGTCTAATCTGGTTGCATCTAATAAAGAGCTAAAAACCTATCCAACCAAAACATTACTGGAAGCAAATTCTCCTTGACTTCACTATAGAACTTTGTCAGCCTTATTCATCATTTCACAATGGATCCATCAAAAGACCCCATAAAAGGTGCAGAAAAAACTTACAGGATTTAATTTCACAACCTCTTTTCCAGGACTGCCAAACTGTAAGCCTAAGATGCCCTGCCACTTTGTTTGCCAAACTGAGATCCCACTCTCAGTCACCAGACTTTAGAGAGAAGATAATAACTTACCAACATTTTCAGACAAAACTAGTGATACCTGAGAAGGCTTCTTTCTGCCGGTCTGATGATTATCACATCAACCTCCAAATCAACCTAAAAAAAAAAATAAATCTACAATCCCTACGAAAGGTCCCCATGATTATCTTTGAAATTCAAGCATTCCTTTAATCCTCTTGGAGCAAAGCTCCTACAATAGATTGCTTTGTCAAGAGTGCCGTCTCTTATATAGCTCCTGTCTGATACTGTGCAAAGTGAAAGCTGATGACACTGAAATCCTAGTACAGCTCACTGAGAAGAAAAGTTTGTGTGTTAAACCATTTGACACTGCAAATAATACAAACTGCTTCAACAAAGCTAATCTCTGCCAGCAGGGGCCTCTGTCTCTTTCTGGAAATCACTGATATTACACATGACCACAGTGATAGTATCTGTTGAAGAAAGATCACAAATAATGACAAGGAACAATAATGAAGTCTGTCCCTCAGTTACCCAGCACAATCTTCATCTTCTGAAAACTGGCTGGTTTTCTTCCAGGCAGGAAAACAAAGAAAATGTAGTAAATCAGATTTTAGAAGCAGAAGTTGAGATTTGGAGCCACGATGGGTACTAAGATATTGCCTGACATGAAAAAAACCAAATTACATTGAACTGAGGTAAGGTAAGCATATATATGAAAAAAACATTATGGGTAAATAAAATAAATCTATGATGACACAGAAGTTCTGGCTTGTTTAGATTTAAAAGGTACAGCAGCTGGGCAGCAAAGCAAGTCCAGGTCTGCTATGCAGTGGTATTATTTACTGTATGCTTAAGGTATTGTCCTTGCTTTGAACTAATCTAATTTTAAAAGCATTTTCCCTTTCTTGGAAACAAAAGACGAATATTGCTTTTCTTATAAAGGCCTGCTACATCATTAACTAATTAAAAGATAAGGCAAACTATCTACAGCATTATAGATTATCTCTCCAGCCTCAGAAAATAAGTGGTGTTAATTTCTGTGGAGTACAAAAAAACCCAGTGAATCTCTGTTCAAACAAAACGGAGGTTATTTTTAAAACTGAGCCACAATCTGCTCTTCCATGAGGGCACCAACAAAGTCCATTTATCAGCTCTGTTGCTGCATGGTGCCCTGCATAAACCTTCCATCAAGAGTGTTACGAGTTTGCTCTGCAGCAAGCCCTGAACAGCAGAAAGCAATGACTTCATGCAAGCACAGCATCACGATGGATTACCCATTCCCTTTATAGATATTCCAGTTACACCCACTGCATGGCAGCCTCAGACAAGGCTAGGCTCACAGAAGCAGGCATGTCAATGTAGCTCCTCAGGAACTCCTCAAGTAGCTCCCCACAGCTCTGTAGAGTTCCAATAAACAAGACCTGTCACCACTCAATTTTTAACTTGCTGGCACAAGGCAAAATGCTTTCCAGGTACCAACAAATCTCAAAATACTTGTCTGTAGTGTTCATCACCATCTTATAACAGAAATGACAGTCTTTGCTTTCCACTAGTTTATCCCCATAGACATGTGCTGACTCATGACCAGAGATAATGAATATCATTCCTTTGCTGTAAGCATTTGTGTGTAGCAAACAAAATGCCCTAAAGATAAAAAAATATTTTCTTTTGTAATATTGTCATCTGGCATCAAAATAGGATATCTTAAGGAAGACTAACTGATATATGTTCTGCCAAGACATTAGTTATCCTTAGTAGATATCCAGTAGACATTGTGCTTGAATCTATATATTCTTGAACATGAACCAGGTTGTCTCTGAAATTAGCAAGTTGTCCAGCCAGTTGAACATGCAAAATATAGTTAAAACAAATGTCTGCTCTCCACTGACTGGCACACTTAGGTGGGCCGTTATGGCTTAAGGCTCCAGGGCAGTACAGGACGCATGGAAACATCAGCCCTGCCAGGACCTTCCATGGTCACTAGCCCTGTTTTTCAATACTGCTCAAAAAACAGGACAGAGATCATCATGGCAAAAGTAGCACTTTCTCAACTGTCACCTCAAGCTTCTTTCCCAACTTCCATGCCAGGAGGGGTGCAAACATGTGTGATGGGCCAGTGCAACCCCACCAAAACAAGGTGTGTGGTGTACAAGAGGACCTGACAGGCCCTTGCCTCCTTGCCTTCACAGTGATCCGTGGGGTGGGCAGACAAAAAAATATTCTGTAAAAGAACAGAGCTGCACTCCAAGGAACAGGAAAGCAGATAAAAACAAACCAGGATCAGACTTATCTGGTTTTACAAGTGAGGGCAGGATTTGCTGACCCTATTATATCCTTCCCTCTCTGAAGGGAGAATCCCTACTCTGAAGTCTTGAATCCCTACTCTAGTGTTCAGCTACCTTTGAAAACCCTAATTCATGGAAAGGGTTGTCAAGCACTGGAACAAGATACTGAGGGATGTGGTTGAGTCACCATGCCTGGAGGTATTTAAAAGATGGGTAGATGTGCCACTTGGGTACATGGTTTAAGGGTGGACATGACAGTGCTAGACTAATGGCTGGTGTTGTTGGTCTTAGATGCCTTTTGCTACCTAAATGATTTGTGATTTTATGATTATTGTTTCAGAGCTTTTCCAATCTCTGTTTTGTTCTACTTAGTCCTCCAAAAGCTGTTTTACCCTTGAAATGTTGACCTTCTCTTCTCAACAGCCAACCAACTGAAAAAGTAAGTACAACAAACTTTGCAAACCATTGCTCTATTTCCACCAAATACATTTTCTGTCTCAGCTTCCTACCCTTCTGATCTTTAGGTCACTTCAGGGAAGGGACTGTCTTCTATTTTGGACAAAAAGAATCTGTTCTTCACCAGTCCACAACCCAATGTCCATCATTAGATTGTAAAAATCAGCAATAATAGAGTGTTGTCAGGTACATTAGCCCATGATAGGGACCTGAAAGCCATTGGAGAGGTCTTGCATATTTAGGATGCAGTGGAACCTCATATCAGTTGCTGGGAAGTTTTGAATCCTTACCTGTTGAAGATATATGTCTGCTTGTACTGTGGTTAAAATCTTCTTGATTATTGCTGGAACAAAAGCTTGTTGCTGGAAGTAGAAGCCAGCTATCTTTCTGTAGATGGTAATCAGGGAACTTGAAGAAAGCAAGTTGGAGGCAAATACTGCAAAATGTCGCTGAAAATAAAAAGGGAAAAAGAAATGAAGATTCTCAGCAGATAAGAGTCAATGAAGTGTTAAATGACGAGACAGCCTGGTGAGCATACAGCTACTTGTGTGTCACAGAAAATACTTCATTTCTAGCCTCATCCTTGATGCAGTCCCACAGCAGTTGCACGTCTGATTATGAGCCCCAAGGGCACATCTGACAGGTGGATGACCACATGAGCCTGCAATTCAGGGAACTCTCAATGTCATAATAAATCCAGTGTGTCTCTTTCCATTTAGCTATAAGAACAGCAAGATTTTCAACCTGCACTAAATTTCAAACACTATATTTTCTCCTATTCCCTTTCATCAGCTACCTATTGTAGTGGAAAGCTAAATAGTCATTATTTCATGTATTAAATACAGGATTGCTATAATATGACACTTCAAACCCTAGATGGAACTTAGGCTTGATAATGAAGCTGCCAGCAGCTGGATTCATAAAGGCAACATACTGAAAATTATGAATTTCTTTAATAGTTGCCTTCTGCCTATCATAACTGAGAAAGAAAATGTAACTTGATTAATATTAGTGACAAAACATTGAAGCACTGTACATTTCCAGGTTTAACCTCAACAGTTCTGTCCTACAGAAACTTTGGAATACAAATGTCCATGGAAGTATCGAATTGAGATTTACATTTTAAAATTAAAAATAATTACACATTTTCTATCACATAGTATTTTGTTCAGAATTTCTGCTGCAATTAAGATACCACATTTTTACAAAGTTTCTGATGATTAAGAGTTTTTTGGTAATGAAACTGGTTCCAAACACACTTGGAGATGAGGAAAGCATGGTCAAAATAAGTACAAATCATTTTGAGAATACACACAACCATCGCTCATCACAGATTAGAGGAAAATTAGCTGATCTCAATAAGAAAAATACCAGAAAATACCATCATGGAGTATGAGGGGGCATGCTTCTCTCTTTACTGCATTATCCAATACTCTTTCTGGCTCTCCAGATGACACAGGTCCAGGTGAATTAAAAGGAGGGCGCCTAAAAAGTGGGTAGAGATTAAAATAAAATAAAATAAAATAAAATAAAATAAAATAAAATACAAAATTTTTAAAAGGGCTCTGAGCTGCTGGAAATTTGCATTCTTTTTGTCCAAATAGGAAGAGAATCTTGTTTCTTTAGATGTTAGTGTACATGTCAACTACGACAAGCAGGTCTTTAAAAGAAATACTGTAAAAGGAAAATTCATGAATAATGCAGTTATTCCCTGTTCAAATCAACAAATCCTTCCTTCCCAGAACTTCATAAAATAATGCATTCTCTTTTTTTCCTTGTGTTTGCAATGAATTTTACTCTATTTTAGAATTCCTAAGTAGTGATATTAAATCCCTGAATTTCATGGTCAGCACTGTTCTTGATTTGATCTGTTTTATAAAAATGGAAATTTTAAATTTTTGGCTAGATTTTGCTTTAAAAGAATTCAAAACCATTCAAAAGAAAGAAGCAACAACCCTTTTAAAGCACTAGGGATTTTGAGATCTTAACTTTGAAATCTTTGTGAAAGAATAAAAGGTTTCCTATCTCAAAAAGAATATAGTTTTGAGAAGAAAACAGGAGAGTATTGAGATGTTAGCTTTGCATGTCATCAAGTTAGACATGACCGATTTTTCCAAGCCAGAGATATTTCAGATTTGAGTAGTCACTCTACTTTTTTTTAATCTTTACAGCTTGTTCCTTAACAAGATATTTAGCTGATGCCTGGTGTCAATCCTTCATGGGATGAAGTATGACCTAGTGAAAAAAATTATGCAATTCATCTGCATTAAAAGATACAAGAACAGTACAGACAATTCAAAATGTTTTCTTTGTAAGTCACACATTTTCTTTGTGTCATATAAGATGATATGAAGACATGACATGTGAACAAGAATCTAATATGTATTTAAGATAACAGTGACGTATTTACACAGAATGTTGGTCCTCCTGTAACAAAATGAACTAAAACACTAATTTGTTGATTTTGGACTGGAAAATTTATATTTACACAGGTTCTGGTGAAGGAATACGATATATTTTAATTGCCAAAAAAATTAAATTGTCATTTGGAAAGTAAGAAGGTTGTCACCTTCTCTAGGTGGCACTGCCTTGACGTCTTGGACTAGATGATCTCCAGAGGTTCTGAGATTCTGTTATTGCTTTAATTTCCCAAATCAACTGAATTGCTTTCAGTGGCCATCTTCTATGCTTTTGTTCTCATGGCAGAAAAAGACTGTTCATTGGAAGCAGCATCATTAAGTTTTTATGGATTTTGTCTGATGTCTTTACAGGCGAAGAAATTGTTGTATTTACAGGTGAAGAAAACATAGAGGGTTAGAGGCTAAACACCTGCAATTTAGGGAATCAGTTTCTGTGCTTTAGCCATCCCTGCTCTCTACAGTCATTCAGTTGGGCCAACATCCAGCATCTCCACCAAAAGCAGCTGAAGGATATTTTCCTTCCAAAACTCCATAGTCCCTTCACTTTCTGCTTCTCTTTTCTAAAACAGTTTATCACTTCCCAGGAACATAGGCTTTCCTCTTTAATAAATTAATTTTTAAGCTTTCTGTTTTTTTCTGTGGTTTATGGCTGCCATCATGGACTACAACACAACAATTACAGTATTAGGTAAGAAGCAAATGCTCACCAGTATCCATAATCAATATGCTGCTGAATCAATGCATGAGGCTGAACAATTCCATATCTATCCACTTCAGGCATATTCAAATCATTACTAAAATAGAGAAGTTCTTCATTATTTTCTGGAACATAGGTATGACCATGTTCTTCCATTTTTTCCAAACATCCCTGAAATGTAAAACAAAGGCATAAAAATTATTACCATATAAAGCAACATTGAAATTAAACAAAATCAAGAATTCAAAATCATGCTGGCTAAAATTTCTGGAACATTTCACCATGTACAAGATTGGGGTTTTTTTTAACTATTGAAGTCCTTAGCAATCAGTGAAACTCACAGATAGTCTTTGAGAATATATACCCTTGGGATTCTGAATTCCAGAAGTCTTGCTGATTTACTTGATTGACTACTTCACAGCTTTTGAAAGTTTCACAGCATATCTATCTGCATCCTTTGAAACTGAAATGTTTTGAATGTGAAATTCCCAGGTATCCTGACACTCAGAAAATTAATCAGTGAGTAGATTATTTTCTCCTTCTCCTGGGAAGGATTAAATAAGATGTAAATACCAAAATGTGTAAAGTGCAAAATTATGAAGGATAGATCTCATTTAATCAGGACATTTAATCATGAATCTAATGCAATAGCATCCCCCAGTCAAAGGAATATTAAGGTGATTGTACTAAATTTCAGCCTATTCCCCAAAATGAGGTGCTTACACGATGGTCAGTGGAGACCATTGGGTTACAAATTTACTACAACAGAGAACAAATTAACTCAAAGACCCTTACGTATTCATCAGAACTGCAAAATATTGAGACTTAAACTTTGAGTTTATACCATTTTTATCCAACTGCATTGCTTTCCTTAGATGTAAAAGAGAAAAAATAGCTACAGAAAGCTGCTAAGTCATGTTAAAAACACAGAATAAAACAACTTTCATTAAGCATTATTATAGTGCTGAACTCTGATATGATGTGATCCTCAATTTTGCCACTTAGTGAAGTATTCTACAGACAGATATGATGGGATTCATCATCCACAGAAGTTTGATTTCTAATTGCATTCTTTCAATTTTGTGCATGGGAATAAAAAACCTGCAGAAATCACTAGGAATTTATTAAAGCAGGGCTGGAAAACTAACAATCTTCCTTCCTAGGTCATATAGTTTTTGTTTTTCAAATTCTCACAGAAGGTATTCTGCACAAAATAAACCACAGTAATCGGTGGACTTCAAGGAAAACTTCAGTATTGTCACAGTGACTGAGGCTCTCATCTTCAACAAGCAGCCTAAATTCTCTGTCTCAGAGCTGGGATTTGAACCAAAGGGTTCAAAAACATTTGAAACATTTAGGGAATACAGTGGTTAAAATCTTAACAGCACAGCAGAGAATGTGCTGCAAACTCAATACTGTTCAGCAAGAAGAAAAAGATTTCTCAAAAGTTTTGTACATCTAACCCAGAATTTTTTTGTCCAGTCAATAATGTAATGCATTTGGGATACACCTGCTATTGATTTTGAGATTATGAAAGCCAGAATTTAATAAGCCTTGAGTATTTTTCAATAAGAAATGGCTATATGTATTTTTAAAAAATAAAAAATTAATTATGAGTTCCATGTATAATAAGTAGAAGAGGAAAAAGTGCAGACACAAAATTAATTTTTTTTTCTATCACACAGGGTATTAAAATACTTCGGGTCAGGCAAAATAAAAAAATAAAACATAAGTATATGGTTTTGAACTTGTCTTGCTTATTTAAAAACTGGACAACATGTTCATGAGAGCCTGTAGGAAATGGAAAGTGCACTTGCACAGGGACGGCTGGAGGCTGGACATCACAGCACTGGCACAGTCCTGACTCACAGCAGACTTATGAGTGCCTTGGGCAAAGCAGAATAAGCAAACACGTCATTGCAAGCAGTTTCCAGTAGGACTGTGGAAGTATTGTCATGGATTTTTCAGTGAAATGAATCATCTGCAAACCTCAGCGGTGATTTTGACTGGTGAGCTCAACGAAGGTAACAAATGCTTCCAAGGCCATTTCTGTCTAGTCACAGTCAGCTGAAAGGATGGTTATTGACTGGAGAAGTAAAACAAGAAGATAAAGAGCGGAGGTGTGCTGGAAGACAGGACAGAAAGGGAGAACCTCAACATATTTGGAACTGGATGATCATAAATTCTGGGGGCAAAAGCTGTGGTTGCACTTACCCTGCTTTCCTACCACAGAAGGAGAAAACTTCTTGCACAAACTGTGTGCATATGAAAGGCCTAAAGTCTCTTAATTACATAAAAGACAATTTTGTTCCTTTAGCTCAATGTGTACCCCTAATTTTAAACCCCGGCTTTCTGGATCTAAATTTTAAATAATGCCCACAAGTATAAACATTTGCATATTTTTGTTCTTTGTGGCAGTGTTCCAGACTTAAATACTATTGAGGACCCCAAAATTATTGTACCAATATTAGTTTGCATCAGAACGTGCCTCCATCAAGCAACATTTTCAAATTGTCTGCTGTTCTAGAGGCAGAGCGGGTGAGTCATATGCCTTGGGGAGTGCTAAATAAAACCCTACACTACATGCTAATCTCACCCACTCTAGCAGATACCTCAAAAAATGTTATGTGGCTATAGATAAGATGAGAACTGACAGAAAACACTGCAGATTAAAAGCGATATGATCTGTAAGAAAAATATCTTAACCTCTGAACTATGGAAAGAACATAGCAATGAACAGTGGTGAATCACGGTACTTTAACAAGTTCATCTCTTAAGCTCTTTTTTATGAACTAAGGCTTAATTTAAATTGCTCATTTGTGCAGTTTGCTGTGAATGATTCTTTCCATTATGAAAACAATCCACAATTTGACTGTTCCAGATGATTGCTTAGAGTGATGGCTTAAGACACATGAAGACACTTCAGTGTAGCACTTGAATGCATTTACCAGGAAGAAATATTGGTACACACAAACACCAAAATCATGTAAGAGGCCGTCATTTTGATCTACACATGACAGTACAAAATCATTCCATCACAGTTCACTGAGACAATGCTGTAAATGCAATGGAAAGGGAACACAATTTACTTGCTTCTGGATTGTCATGCCGTTCACCTGCTGGGATTAGTGGAGGGACTTGGTAGAAGAGCATTTAACAAGTGGAACTTGGCTGAAGAGCAGTGGACAGATGGAAGAGGTACAGACAATGAGTCCACTGCCTTGTACATGCCTTAATTTTTCTTAGAAGGAGCAGTGGATGGTTTACAGTACTGACTTGAAATGTGAAGGAATTCTACTAAAATTTCACAGCAAATCCTTAAAGGTTCATCAACTCTCAAATTTTATGCCACGAGACTGTTGGTGGGTGTAACATTCTTGGAGAACAAGCCCCTGTGATGTTGACTTCACATCCTTGGTTTATTTAACAAGTTTCCTGCGAGAAGAATACACAGCCTTTGCTGCCCAGGAGCTCCTTTCATCAGCTTCTCTTTGCAATGGAAAGAGTTATGCTTTTGTACTCTAGAGCCACGGCTGTGGTTGCTGCTGTAATGGCAGTCATTACCTGAAAAATCCCTTCTTGATCAGAGGAATTTCTGAAAGCCTTTGAAGGCTGATTCCCCATTAAAGGAGCTATGACAGTTTGCAACAGCTCATGAGCTCACTCTGACACACAGCAAATTTCTTTTCTCCTAAACTTTCCATTCATTTTGATGGGCAAAAAGGCAATTGAGCTCTATTAATGCAGGATTCTATGTTAACATGAATTTGGAAACACTTCAAAGAATGAACTAAGGTATAAAGAAGACAAAATGATCTTTGCTTATCTGATGTGAATACAGAAGAAATTAACACAAAACATGAAAGAGAAAAGAGGGTAAAAGCTTATTCAATTAAGATTTGTGGATTTATACCTACTTTTTTAAACCTGGTGAAAATCTAATCCATTAGCAGTGATGTAGATTGGCTGGAAAATTAGACAACTGATTGGAAAAGCAGTTAAATTACACATCAAACACACTTAAATGCTTCTAAAGATTTTATCTCAATACTTCTAAAATCATAGAAAATTTTTAAAACTGAAAAATCTCTTTTGCTATCTTCTTCCACACATTTAAAAGGACAAGCCAGTATATTACCTTATAGTGCTTTTCATGGCATGAAAAAAGAGGGCACAATTTTTTTCATTATAGTTTCCTGTTCAGGTTGCAGGAAGGATAAAAAAAAGGGACGGTAAAGAGGGCATATCCACTGACAGCTGGCTCTACCTTGATCGTGTTCTTCACAAAGAACAAAACAGACAGCTTATATGAACCTATTTTGCTTTGACTGTCTGACTCCTCTTGTTGCAAAATCTACCACCAGTATAACAGTTTTGGCCAACATACAGCACTCTCCATTTGAGTGTTATATTAACATTTCCTTTGATTTGCATCCATCTCACCTACAGAGACTTCAAACTCCACCAGACAGGGATTGACCCTCCTTGGATGTTTTGTGGTACCTGGGAAAAGTAAACTCAACTTCTGACTGTCCATTTCAGTACACCTACAGGCACCGTGCTGAGACACTCAGGCTAGGACAAAGATGGCTCAAGGCTTCTTGTGAACAGAGGTTAAGCCAAATTTTCTCATCTGCAATCAGACAGCAATTTGTGAGAGCACAGTGTCAGTTCCAGTTTGCACCAAGCAGTTTCATCCTCCTCCTTTCCCCTTGCCTGCCACAACTTTCAAAGTTTTCCAGTTTGCAAAGCAATGAATTTTGCCAAGGCCCAGATGAGCAGTAGCCAATGGTTGCAATAACACTGTAATAACTGTGGAATATATTTTAGCACTGCTGTTGAGCGAAGATACATTTCTCACATCTGTATGGAACTTACTCTGAAGGACTGCTGATGTTGCGTGGTAGTTGAATGAATTGTTGGTCTGGAGTTTGTCTTCAGAGACAGCACCAAGCCTATTACCTACAAACACTGCTTTTCCTACTCCAGCATTTCCAACAAGCAAGACTGCTTTGCCTTTTACTACGAGTAAATCAGTGGAGTACTGGAGATATACAGTCTAAAATGTGTGAACAAAGACTGACTAAAATTGAAAAGAAAAAACCCTATCAAACACTTGCACATCATAGTTTACTTTTAAAAGCAAACTGTAATTTCTTTCTGTCTGGCTAGGACTAAATTCTAAAAAGTGATGAAGCAGGATACACCATTCTTTTATTCTCAAAGAATTGCTAAAATAAATTGGTTTACTTTTTACACAGTATTTCTACTTAAAATTTTTTATTCAACTTCTTCTAATAGGAAGTTTTTGAAATCTGGTTGTATCTAGAGTGCATTCATTCCACTTCAGACATTACAGAACCAGTCTCCCTATAACTGTTAGAGAAGCAAAGACTGGTGAAAGATGAAGATGGCTTAATTTATCAATTATTTCAATTGATTTTTTGCCTGGCTTTCAACTTACCTAAAACCATTTGGACAAAGAGTTGGCAATAAACAGCTTTACTTACTGTGAGCACATAAAAGCTTCCTTGTCTGATAAATCTTTCTTTTCCAAGCTCTTCAATTGTCTGATAAATATTTCTTTTCCAAGCTCTGTGTTTTCCTATCAAATATTAACCCTCAAAGACAACAACAGAGTTGATAATGGACTATATCTTTTGATCATCAAATCCATGTTTCTGTGTCCATAGTCTTCTAATCTCCCCAGGAAAATTCCTACTCATCTAAGCATCAAAAAGTTGTACAATACAAGTTAATGCAATCAAAACACCATGAATCACTTCAGAATATCCTATGCAGAACACATTGAAAAAAGTGCAAAAATAACCATACCTTCAAACTGAGGCAATTACAACTAACAGCTCATGCTTTCTAATCCTCCACTGACAGGTATACATCGTACTACCTTCTAGAAGTTGTCTTCTACAAATACAGCTCTAACTTTATAAATTGTTCAAAAGCCTAGTAGGAAGGTGATGAAGTGATTTGCTTCCTCTCCATCTCATACACTTTCTGTGAAGCTAATTTAGCTGACAAAAAAAATTATCTGTGCATAAATGTGGCCATAGGAAAATATTAAGGATCAGTTTGTGGTGCATGGTTCCTGTGAACATTATTTTCAATGACTTACATGGACTTGGAGCCTGAATTTCTCTTACTATGGATAAAAGGTACCCCACAGAGAAGCTGGCAGATGGCCCAAAAAGGCTAGAATCCTATGCTGGAAGCCTGTGCTAGGGCAGGTTTCTGGGAGGACCTGTGAACCTGCATAGAGAGGAGCCCAGGCTGGAGCAGGTTTGCTGGCATGACTCGTACCCCCATGGGGGACCAATGATGGAGCAGTTTGTGAAGAACTGCAGCCTGAAGAAAGGACTCAAGCTGGAGAAGCTTATGGAGGCCTGTCTGCCATGGGAAGGACCCTGTGATGGAGCAGGGGCAGAGTGTAAGGAGCACTTCCCCTGAGAGGGAAGGGGGAGCCAAGACAATGATGGGCTGACTGCAACCCCATTTCCCATCCCCCTGTGCTAATGGAGTGAAGAGGGAGAGAAAATTTGGAGTGAAGTTGAACTGGGAAGGAGGGAGGAGTGGAAGGAAGGTATTTTTAAGATTTTGGGGTTTTTTTGACACTACCCTACTCGGATTTGATTGGTAATAAATAAAACTAATTTCCCCAAGTTGAGTCTGTTGTGCCTACGACAGTGTGCTGTGCTATTTGATTCCCCTGTCCTTATCTTGACCCAAGAGTCATAATTTTTCTCCACTGTCCAGCTGATGAAGGAGAGTAATAGTGGCTTGGTGGGCTTCTGACATTTAACCAGGGTCAGCCCTCCACACTACTCTTCTGATTAAGCAGTGCACATAAGAGAGATAAAAAACTCCACTTAAATGATGACAAAATTTTCTGAATGCCTATTTGGGGATATATGTGGCCACCAAATGAATAATAAATTAACAGAATAAAAATTAGAAGCAAGATTTAAATAAATAATCGAGTTTGATCCAATTAATCTTCAAACTGGATATCAAAAATGCCAACTAATATCATCAGATACTCACACGTTCTACTCCAGGTGCTGGGGTTTCGGGTGATGAATACCAGCTCTGGATATTGTAGCTGGGGCAGCAGCTCTTAAACTTGTACCTCAAATAGCAGCCACATTTGCAAGCAATGAATGTGTGCCTATGATTCTGTCAGGGTCACAACCTAGAAATCATCAGTAAAATTTTCAGGGAAAGAAAGTTAAGATATGTTGTTTAACAAGAACATGATCAATCATGTTTATTACAGTGCCACAGAGGATTATCTGCAACACAATGCATACACTGCTCCTTGAACAAGCTAGACAAACTCTGTTTGAACATGCCTTAGTTTTTTTACCAGAATCACAGAGGGTGACAAATTCAAAATGTTTAACTTGACCTTGCTTGAGTTTATTAGAGTTTAATTAATTTAAAAGGTGACTAGCCTGCTTTGCCAATGAGAGCTCTCCTGAAAGCAGACAAATGCAGAGGAGGGGAAAACCTCTCTCAAGGTCAATGAAAATAATCAGAAGATAATTCAGAGCAGAAGTCTAAATTTAGGTTAGACTCCAAAATGTTTCTTGAAAAAGCCACTTCCTGTTTCTCAAAAAAAGTTTGATTATATGGCTCAACCCTCCAGGCACCTTGCTGAGTAACCAGAGGATTAGCATGGTTTAAGTTTCTAAGACAGGAAAGCATAAAACTCCCATCACTTTCCAAAGACTACATTCAGATCTTATATTTGTATTTCATTACATTCCAGCATTTCAGAGAGCCCACAAAACTGGTTTAGCTGTATAACTAATAAGAAGGAAAGAAGGCTGTATCCTACTGTGCTTAGACTGACTGATTTAGATTTCCTACACTAACCTCCAATCAATGCCTTGAGAAGACTGACCTAAAACAGAGACCAGATAGAGTTTAAGAATAAAGTAGGTATTAAAAAAAAAGTAGGTATTTATTAAAAGGCCTCAATGGACACATATCAGGTGGTACGAGAGCCCAGCCAGGGCTACACCCAAGATGGACCCAAAATGGTCACAAATGGACAACTGGTCATGGGGTGTCACACTTCTATAGGTTTTGGTCCATTAGCATATTGGAATTGATTGTTCAATTATTACTTTAGGTTATGGAGGCCCATCCTTCTTGTTTTTCTCTCTTCATTCCACCATTGTTTGTGCTCTTGGTCCTGAAATTTGTGTTGATTGTCCTTGGTCCCAGGCTAGAAAAGGAATTGTTTTGTCTAGCTACTCTGTGAAGAAAGCTTACCATCACTTAATATGAAGCTCAGAACCACACAATAAAGCAGCACAGAATCTGAAAAATATAAAAGCTAAACTTAAGGCATTACCATAGTACAGTGATGCAAGGACTTCAATAATGGAATCTTAAAGCTATTTTACTAAGAGACTTTCCAAATACCAGTTTCAATAATCTCATCATTGATTTCTCTAGTTACATCAGCTCACATCTAGGAGGCACAATCAGCATTACAGTATTCATAGGCTGATTTAAGGCTCTTTTCTATGCCAAATAGGCAAGAAGTGTAAATTAGGCATTAAATATTACTTAGCAATAGTGAAAACCAAAGAAATTATAAGAATAAAAGAAAAAGGCATGCACAGTGCAAAACTGTCTCCAGAAAAATAGAGGAAGAAGCAAATGGGAAAACAGGTAAAGGGAAATCCACTGTAATTGTGTCTCAATGGCTCACCTTGTTAGCACCCATAACAGTGTTGAGGGACTCAGTCTACATAGGAGCTGTATCCCTATTTAAAACAAACCTTTTTTACCCCTCATGGATAATATTGGCTTGTCCTCTCAGAGAAGATGACAGGAGAACTGCAAATTATATTTCAATAGAATCTTATCACTTAAATGCTCAAACAACAACATTGTACTGCAATTAAAACTTCAGAAGATAACACATCACTGAAACAAGAAGCTTTTGTAACATCAAACCCATGTTTTCTTCCTTTGCTTTTTTATTAGGTAGTTATTTAAAATAACAAAAAAATTTAGTGAACACTCAATACAACAAAATGACTGCATTTTATGTAATAATGATCTGTTTTGATTACAGGAGAGTTGGTCATTAGTCTTCATGATACAGGAGATATAAGGGAGGTGCTGTGGGTCTGGGGAGAAAATAACAGGCCCTTCAAGGCAGCTGGATTAGAACTGTGCATACCTTCTGTCTACCAGCATCCTATCCTGCCCTCCAGCCTTTCCAGAACCACCAGTGCTCTGCATCCACGTCCCGCTGCACCAAAACCTCAGAAAAATGGAAGAATTCTATCTCTTATATTTTCTCTGAATTCTGGTATTGTCCATTTTGGACGGAGAATGACATCCTGGCAAGAGCAAATGTGTTCCTTGCCATCCTTCCACTCTCAGGTTTCCTGGTGTATGAAACCACACAGTTCATCAGCTGACAGAACTTCTGCATTAAAAGTCAATTCCAAATGGGAATTTGTGTTCGCATACATGTGATGAAGAACTTTCAGGACCAGAAGGGAAGGAGCAGGGTGAATGTTAGTAGCATCATTTTCATATAGTAGGAATTGTTCACTTTTTTCTGAACTGGAGCTTGGACTGAAACCCTGTACTCAGCCAACAGTTTACATTAATTTATTCTTGTCTCTGTGCTAGTTTAGCCCCAAATTTCCATTAAGCCTAAGGACAGAAAAGGAGATTCCCAGTCTGAAATAGCCATATTCTGCACTCAATTCTAATGGAAAGTGTTAAATGGAGAAGAAAATCTATGCAGCTGCCAACATTTAGTAGCATAAATAAGCAAGCATTATGTATTAGAATTATTTGTCTAGTGTTTTGGCAGGACATTCCATGACGTCTGTCTAGGAGTCTAATTAAAACATCCTACTTCTCCTTCCAGAACAAAGTATTACTTAGTCTATCTGTCAAATTGAATGCTCATTACTTCATGCCGTGATTAACTGTCCTTTGGGACATGCAAACAGCACATAAAATGTAGAATTTGCTTGCAACATTTGCACTTTCTAGTGCTCATCATTCAGCTGACCGAGCGGCCTCAGCAGTGTGTTATTACCCTGCAGCCTCAGGCAAAGGCAACATGAAGAATTTTTCATGCAAGAGCCGTGGCAGTTTCTTTACAAGGTGAGATGGAAAACATGCTGCATAGGCAGGCAGGTACCTTACCCTTCCCATTCCCTGCAATTCCACCGACAAACACAGAGTGACACACTGCTGGCTGCTCCTCCAGCTGAACATCCTTACACACAGAAAGGACACACAGGGAGCACCCCTCCTCTCCTGCTGTGGTTCTTATCACAGAGACACAATTATTCACAAGATTTTTTCCCTCTCTGCATTCTTATTCCCTTTAATAGGAAAAAAAAAAAAAGCTCGCACTTTCTTGGCAGATTTGCCTCAGCAAAGCTAATGTTGCATCAAGCAACACAGTCACTCAGAAAATGGTAAGAGTTAGTGCAAAAGAATTAAAGCAGTTACCTCAGCAAGTGAGAACAAATCTTATTCTGCCAGACAGCCACACAGTCCAGCAGGACTGTGGAAACCCAAGGACACAGAAGAGTTACCACAATTTTGCCACTGCTTTGGCAGAGTGGATTCTGCAATCAGTTGTACAGCTGGAAAATACAGACAGTCTCCTAAAGCAATACAATGCTTCCAAAGAAATAGTTATTTGAGTCACAGAATAGAAATAGCTTGGCTGCTTGTGGATTTCTGTTTTAGTGAAGAGTATTCATTCTGATTTTCCAAAGCCTAACAGGAACAAGTTCATGATCCTCAGTGCTTGTCTTCTGATTTACTCAGTTAGCAGGAAAACAAATACTCTGTTAGAAGGCTGATTGTGAGTTCATAATACCTCAAGGCATACCTTACTGTTTTTCACCCTTCTGTCAGGATAATGGAATAGGAGAGAAGAGTCAAAAATCCTTTATAAATCCTCTGATCAGTAACATTCAACTAGCTGGGTTATTTCCAATATACTCCAATGAAGGTAAGGACGTGCTGCCTTGGACGAACGTACAGCAGATGTGGATGTTCCTTGAAAAAAGGTGGGAATAAATACACTTTTTATTTGGTCTGTATACTAACTAGTGTTTTTATGTTTCACTTTTTCACTCTGTCTGTAATTAAAATAAATAAATTAGTGCCTAAATTTAGATTATGGGCAACTAATTATTGTGAGTATACATGCATGCATACATGTACCTGCATATATTTAATGTGTATAGCACAACATGGACTATACTATACCTAAAAGCTAGAGCAAAAAGTCATATGTAGCCACCCACATTCCAAATCCACACCTTCTTATTTATGTGGTTTTGTTCCCTTAGTCTTACCTCACTATAAATATCTGACCAACAATGAATTTGCTACAAAATACAAATTCTTCTTACCATGCACAAACAAACGTTTTTGTCACTCTAGATTGTCACTGTACACAGCTTTTCCAAACAGGACACACGTTTCCTAATGGACATACTTATCATACTGAGGAACATTACTGCCATGATGAAATGCCTTTGAAATCCTGAGTCATTGAGAGAGCCTTTATCAATGTTTTAACATATTCAAAAATAATCTTTGTGTCTAATACAAACAACTCATTGGCAATTATCTTGATAAAACATCTTAAGGGGAATGATTAAAGACAATGAATTTGTTTACTTTGAGAATAAAGTTCTCTTCTGGCTGCAAGTACAGCTCCAGGGTAGATTGTTTAACCATCTGCTCAGACTGTAGGTTCCCCATCCTCAGAACATCCAGAGATGGAAACAGGTCACTGATCACGCCTGTGAAAATTGGGATATCATCTGTCACTATTTTATGCAAATTGAAGTCTCTTAAGATGCACATAAGCACATGAAAAAAGAAGGTAAACAATGTATCATAAGAACATTAAATAATTTTTTTAGGAGTCTCTTTTTATTCAAAGGAAAAACACCAGAAACATATTTTACCCACTCCTCAGGGATGTTCTTATCTCCCTGTTTCAGAAATTACCAGAACTGACTTGATAGCATGAAGTCCCCAGTCATAACAGCCTACAAAGACATTTTAACTAATCATGTTAGCACATGAAATAAAACTAAGTGGTTATGTTCATGAAGAAAACAATAATTTTACACACAGAGTAAAAAAAGACATTTTTATTCACTTGTAGTCTTTCAGTGGCTTTTGGTCAGCATTAAAGGTTGACTGAAATATATAAAAGGCTGAAATATATATACCTGTATATCTATTTAATTTTCAGTATTCCACCATTTGATTCCCCATTCTTAACTGTCTACCAGCTGAGTAAGGTTTGAAAACATATTCTGCAGCCACACCTAGGAATTCAATATAAACACAGCCTATTAGTATTATCAATCCCTCCCCCCCAAAAAAAAATCCCAAAACAACAACAAAGAAGCAAATTTACAACTTAAAAATACACCATTTTAAGTTGACAGATGCTATGCATCTATCCTCTTCCATGACAGTGGTAACTCTAAGAGTGAATAAAATGTACTAAATACAGCACAAAAAATAATTTTAAAAAAGTAATTTCCAAACTCAGGACAGTTCATGATCTGTAAGAAAAAAAATTCGGAGGTAAATTATTATTTATCTATTATCTGCATTGAAAAGGATTCTCCACACTTTAGAAATGGTACATCTGGTCAAAGAAGTTAAAATAGAATTGATAATGAAACCAGGAAATTTAGGAATGGACTGTGCTTAATAAGATTTTTGTTAGATTTAGGCAAGGATTTTTTTGGTGTATTTTGGCTTTTTTTTTCTTTTTTTTTTTTTCTGTTGTTGTTTTGGTTTTGGGGTTTTTGTTTGTTTGGTTGGTTGGTTGCTGCATATGCATCTTAAAAGCAGCCTTGTGTGTTTTATTTCATTATCTCTAGAAAATTGCAAGAATGTGCCAGGAAATCTACAGGAAATTTAGACATAATTTCAAAATTATGCAGGCATGAAAATAAAGTTGGTTTTTATTTCATAAAGGCCCTGTTGAGTTTATGGTTTAAGGTTGAAGCGTTCTTCAAGGTATAATTCCATTGATAAAAATGAATATCTTGCAAAAATTTATACAGCTGGAGATTATTAAAACAGCATACATACAGGAAAGAGATCGTACAGTTTCTAGGGTTTGCATTTTTAAGATAAGATTTCTAAATAGGAATTCTTTCTAGTATAATAATTAAATTATTTAGAAATGCTTTTCCACTCCCTTTTTTCCAGCTTTTTTTCACTGCTGTTACTGGGGAAAGTTTTAAGACATGTCCATTCAATTACAATATTCTATGTGTTTTTCAAAATAATTCATACTCTGTTATTATTCTCTTCTCCAGAAGATTGTTATTTACATGGGTGCTACACAGCAGCACAATGTTGTCAGTCATCCCAGGTATGAAGATATACAATTGGTGATATACAGTTGTTTAATGCAAAATGAACACATTGCAAACATCCAAAGGTAAGAAGAAAGGACATTTTCCAAATTAATATCTGACAATTTATTAAGGATGGACACATGATTATTTAGAGCGTCTTTAAAATACAAGATAAGAGAATATGCATAAATCCCTCCTATTATGCAATATTCAGCTGCACTGGTATGGAGTGTGTGCTAATGGATATGCATTAAGTCCAGAAGCCCAAAGAACCCTCACCTGTTCAGGGAGCAGCTCCCTGCAGAGAGGCTGGAAGGTGATGAACTTCCTGGCTAACAGACAGGCATCAATAAACCCTTCAGCAGCCAACATCATTCCAGAGACCAGCTCAATGTCAGGGACAACCATGGCACAGGTTCTAGGGAAGGAAAAAACCCATAATTCAAATGCACAGATTAGTATTTAACCACGGTGAGAATAAGTCAGCTAAATCAAATGTCTGATGTGTGCAAACATTTTTAAAAACAGAGCTCAGGAGAGTCACAATTAAGAGTGTCAATCAAAGCTGACAAGGACCCGAGTTCAAAGCAAAATGAGCTAATTAGGCACCGGTGATTGTTAATATTCCATAACATTGCTGCACAAAAGAGGCATCTGAGAAACACAGAGAGGTACTGCCCAAACTCAGAGCAGGCACAGGCTGCAGTGGTGGCACAGCCAGCAGCTGTGCAGGGTGTGGAAGCCAAGTGCAACACAACCATTGCTAAAAATGGCATCCCTTTTTAAAGCTCTTCATTTTTTTTTTTTTTTGAGAGCTTTAGTGCTTTGATATGAAGGCTTGGTTACCTTTAAAGGTTTTACTGTTTCTTTCTAAATATAACTGCTTAAACTTTTAGAACAAACACCCAGAAATTTTAATGACACAAATGAAAAATATCTCATTAAATCTCATTTTTAAATGAACATGAAGTAATAATGTTATTGCCAAACAATTTCACAGTTTCCTCATTAAAAATCTTTACTTAATTTACATCCTAGCAAAAAGGAGATCTTGAATTTTGTGTTCAAGCCAGCTACAAACCAGCAAATTTATTCCTCAGAGCTCTTTCTTACTACTGAAAAAAACCAAATATTTCTTCTTTTTCCCCATCCAGAAATATACTGCTGAACTAAATGACTAGTCTTAATTTTGTCATATTTGAGTATGAATGGGGAACTTCTCATTTAGTTCTGTCTGGCCTGCACATCCAGGGATCCTAGTAATAAAAATATTCCAACTCTGGATTTCAGTGTCATGTTTTCACCAAGAAATACAAATCTGTTAAAAAAAATAGTAACAAAGAAAAGTTAAAAGAAAGATATTACTTACAAAAGAAGAAAACTCACTAGACCTTGGCAAGCAGAGGTATTTTAGCTTTTAGCAATCTGTCTGGCACTGAATTCAGAAGGAAAACACTGGACTATTAGAGCCCCAGAGAGTGTATGTGATTGAAGCATGTCAATAGGAAGAATCACCTTTGGAAACACAGAATAAAGGAGACTAGTAGGGATGCAGAGGGTTCGAAAAGGCCAGGAGACAATATTGAGTAAAAAACCCCAAAATGGAGAACATAGGACAGTGGAAAAACGAGGCATGTCTCAAAAACACTGGAAAGTCCTGGAACCATGAAGACTTCTTGCAAAGTTGAATCCCTCCAAACTTCTCACCCATAGGGTGCCATGATCTCACATGGAAGGACTTGAACTGGTTTCAATAGCAAAACTTTAATTGTAATCTGGAAGGACCAGAATTTACTCTCATTTATTCCTGCAGTTTGAAGAGAAAGTTATTTTTGGGTAGTACATTACACAGATGATTTTGTGTTACCATCTAGTCATTCATTTACAAATAGTTTCACAGGAACTTTGGAGGAAGATATTACTGGTTCAGTATTTATACACTGCAAAGAACAAAGAAGCACTCCTAGTACACTAACTTCTTTTTCTTCCCAATTTTATTGTGGATAAGCTTTAATTGTACTGCCACTACTGACTATACATCCACCAAGAGATCACTGAATTCCTCAAAGCTCCTGTCTGGACCAAACCTTTATAGATACTCCCTACAGACTAAAATTAAATTATTTAACTTCTTTTTCTTGAAAGCAGCAGTTTCCAGTGTAATTCACATGAAAAAGAAGCTAAGCAACAATCTCCATACTGCTTAACAGAACATCTCACCTCATCATCCATGTATTCTGAACAGTTGAAAATTTTCATCATCATACCAAGGGCACAGCCTAAGTCTTCCATGGCCTCTGTCTTCTCTGTGCCAGCTGCTTCTGCAGTAACACCACTCACTGCTAGGTGGAGAGCCTGGGTTGGAGTAATAGAACACCTTAACATATGAAAAAAGATTTTTTTGGATTGCAATGAACTTCCACAATATCAGGAGCTTTTTTTATAACTCTTATGTTTCATGGATGATTTATTCCAAGTCCACTTTCTCATTAAAATTTAATGTCCTAAACCACAAATGTATCTCTTCCATATTCATGTAAAATCATGGTGTGGTACTACTTGGAAAGTGCTTATTTTAGAAAAGAAAACTAACTACATTGACATTTTTTATCAAGAAGGAAGATGCTATCAGTGATCACAGAGGACAGGAAATAGGAGGCTGTAGTTGCTGCTTTGCTTATTTCAAAAACTTGAATTTGGCCTCCCAGCTGAAAGCATTAAGCTAGCCAGGATGTCTGAGTGTATCTTTTTTGATCACTTATTTTAACAAGAAATTCCATATTGGAGCCAAAACATGCCCAGAAGAAAAAGTTTCACTGTACGTGGTATAAAAAAATAGTAGTATGGACTTTCATAAATGAAAAAAAAAAAATTGCTGAAAAATTCTGATTAACCTTGGCAAAGATCTGCTCATATTCCCCTTCAGACTAGACAGTAAATATGTCAGCTTAAGTTATGCAAAAAATATTGCAGTTTTTATAAATGTAGTGGCCACTAAAATCATACCATTTCTTATGCGCACCTACATGCACATAGATTCTGAAATATATTGTGTCTTGATAATCTCATAGTGTACCTATGAGGTAGGAAAGAACTCTAAACTTCTAAGAAACATTTAGCTTTTAATTCCTAAAACAGATAAAGCAGACACTGTTATTTATAGCAGCCATTACCTGTCAGTCAAAGGTGTAATAACTTGCCAAGGGATATTTCCCAAGTACTCATAAAAGTACTGAAACTGAGCATCACAAATGTTGGCAAAACTGTTTCTGGACATCATCCCATCTGTGGCATACCTGTGACAGCAAGCAAAAGCTCTGGAACTGGAGACCTAAGAGCCATCAAAGAGCCAAGATGCCAGGTAGGAGCTATTCAGGTGGTACAAATGCCACCCATCACAAGCTGCAGCTGTCATCAGCAGGTCTCACAACTCATTCCCAGCCACTTATGACTAATAACTACCACAATCTATTATAAAGGATTAGATGTACCTCGAGGCATTTGTGCTTTTATACAGATGCAAGTTTAATAGAAGATCATTTTAATAGAGCTATTACAGCAGAACACAAGGGCTCTCCATGCAAACAATGCAGTCTTTGCAAGGGAGCTGACATTACTTTGACCACAATGAGTTTCATTTTACTCCTCAAGCCTTGTTTCTTCTTATCTGAATGCCACCTTAAAAGCCTATTTTATTTCTGAGGCTTAGGGGGAAAATAAGAATTCTTTCCTGTTTCAATTCCAATCCAGTGAAACATTTTGGACATTCAAACCCACAGCATTAGTTTTACCTGAAATAAAGTTGTACACAGAGTAAGCACTTTGGTTTAAATAAACATGCATTATTTCAGTTGTCTGCACATACAAAAAGTCACCACAGGAAGAGGAGATGCTCTGGAGGTGCACATGCCTCTGAAAGGAGAGCAAAACACTGTGAATTGCTGAAGGCAGAACAAACTGTGAATGCAAAATACAGCTGATTCAAACATGCACCCTCTGGGCTTGAAGGCTTGCTGATACCTCTCTGCCATGAACATCTTTGGTACAAATGGCCATGATTTTTTCATGATCACCCGAGGAAAGTTCTCCAAGCAGCATGGTAATAAAGAGCATTTAGCTCAGTGACCTGAAAAGATTTAGGTAACCCTCTAAAACCAGATGGCTTCCAGTACTGCTACCATTATTATTACTAGAAATTAGTTCTGCCTACATCATGAAATAATTCACCATAAAAACAGGCTTGTACATACAAATTTTCTGATATTCAACATGAGATGCCAGAAGAAATCCTGGTTTAAACAGAAATTTGAACCATCTCCAAAACAACAACAATCCAGGTGAGCACAAATGCTGCAGATGGTCAGCTAGGCAGGGTAGGAGGAATGGATGGATAAGAAGTTGTACATGAAATGGAATTGAAAATTCTGTGGTTATAATCTCCATAGAGATATGTACCAGACTTTATGAAATTGTACTAATTGTACAAGAACATTTATTGGCAAACTAAAAATAGTCCTTAGGAAAGATCAGAGACATTTTAAAAATAGACAAAGCAATAAGGGGATGAATACAAAATATGATATAAATGACTATACAGAGTTATGCAATGCAAAGTGACTATGGAATTATTCAGGTTTCATATTAAAAGGGGGAGAAACCCCAATGTCAGCTACTGCTTGTAATTCAAAGGAGGCAAACGTAAAAAAGCATGAAAATATCGATAGAAAGATATAAATGCATTTTCTATTACAGGGAAAACTTAGATAGTTCTGTCAGATATTCATGACCCCTTTAAAGTCTCTTTCCTATTTTGTATTTCCCTTCAGCAGATATTCTATTTTGGAAATCAAAACCAAAACTACTGAAAGTTTTCACAAAGAGAAAGAGTACTCCCAGCAGGAGAAAAACATTTAGGAGAAGTTTGAGGTAAAAAAGTGTAAAGCAAAAAATCAAATGGCACAAGGTATCCTTCTGAAAACCAAACATAGATGTAAACTGCTTGGTTAGACATAAACAAACCCTATAGTTTTGGCTTCCTTACATTAATCTATGGGTATATATGTATTGAATTGTATGTACACATACTGAATGCATACTCTGTTCTTAGCACACCATTGTGGCATTATGTTCACTTTTAGCTTTTGTCTCAGTTCATAATAATCCTCCAAACCCCAGTAATTAAGATGTGATGCCCATGAGGTAGCAGAAATTGAAGAAAAAGTCATGTTTCTTTTTTCAGTAGGTGCTGTATTGTTTAATGTGTTATAGTAATATGTTCATATGTTTAACCTTTAATATGTAAACCATACTAATATGATTATTTTTATGCTATATTTACTTTTTGCGAATTAAACAAAAAGGAGATGTCCAAACCTGCTTCTTGTGGCAACCCTTCAGGGCTGTTGCCAAGCTCTCTTTCAGCCTAGCAGATGCCATTTCTACATCTAAAACCCATCAGGTTTGTGAAGTGCTAAGCTCAGCCTGGGCTGGGTGGTCAAAAACTCGCTGTTCTCTCTGTCTCTCTTCATAGGCCAGTGTGGCCTCCATGGAGCAGAGATGTACTGCACTGTATACAGTTTCCTCAAGGTGTAACAACCAAGACTCCACCTTTTGAAGCAAAAAAAACCCCCAAGCATGCATAAATGTATGTGCATAATATTAATGGTATATTGTGTACTAAGAATAAAGGAAGTTCATCTCCCTAATCTTCACAAAGGATTTTTGTTACATCTGTAATTTTTACAAACTTAAAATGAGAGTGGATTTTCGCTCCATTTTCTCTGTCACTGTACCTTCAGCAGGATTTGGATGAGACACCAGATATTGGGGTCTTTTTTTACATATCCATTTGATCTGAACACAGACATACTGTCTTAAAGCTCCAAATAAGAAAGTCTGGGGTTTTTGTGTTCACAGCCCCAGAGTAGGCACAGACAATACAGCATTTTCTGTCTCCATGTGCTCAAACATAGTTTTTCCAAGATACAGCTATCTCCAAGAAGCAAGCTGCATATACTTGTCCATTCACTCTGGGGCCTCCCTGCTGCGACAATCAATCATTAGAACCACAGGCAACATTGATTTTATGCAATGTGAGTGCTTATGCATTCAGCACTGTTGTGAGAACAATAAGTTATTGTCTCAGAAGTTGCTGATCTGTTCTCCCTGACCTACCACTACCCAGTTAGCACACAGGCTGGCTGGCCAGTTGGCAAATATGAGGCTCAGAACCAGCGGAAAGGTTCAGCTGATAGGAGATGTGTGAGAGCACTGGAGGCTGGAGAGGTGTGTGCTAAAGGATAAGACAGGAGGGGATCTGAAACTATTACAGAAGATGAAGTAAAAAGAGCAGCAGGAGAGAGAAAGTATGAGAAATGCAATATTCAATCTTGATCAGTTCTGTGACTTTTAGTACTCATATTTTCATTTTCATTACTTCCAAACAGTTGACTGCCTACATGTCTTATAAAAACATTTTATGCACAAGAGAAAGATAGACAATTTATTAAATTATAGTAAATGACACAGTATTGGGTAACAAAATGTTCTGGGTTTGTTATTATTTATTATTTTTTCCAAATTTATATAACTAAAAGGAACAGTTCATGCAATTGAAAGTGTCTATTTAATCTACATGCCAAAGAGGGCAAAATTCATGAAGGAGATTTCACATAACTCAACATGTCTGATCATTAGATCTACATTTGTCACGGGACAGAATATGCTCCTTTTCTGGTCTGTATTTCCCAAGGGCAATATTTATATATTCCTCTGTATTCTCTTGAAATTTAAGATCAGCAGCATTGTCAAAAAGTTTGGTAAGACGATGGGCTATTTGCATCCAAAAATACCAGATATATAAGGAAACAATTTACATTAGATTTGTGTCAATCACACTAATGCATGCCTCTGTTAAAGTGGATGACTCTCTGACTGATTACTACACACAAGATTTTTTTATGGGGAAAAGCTGGGCCAAAATGATAAATCAGTGAAAGGAGTTAATTACACTTCTGTCAGTTGTCAGAAGAGTCTGAAGGACAGAGCTCAATATAAAACTGAGAAATCTTGAAATTGTCATTATTTATGGCTAACGCTTATTCTACAAATGGCCTTATTAAGGTCTAAATGCCTTTTCTAGCTACACATCTCTCCAAAGACCATGGACTTGAAAATCATTGTCTACACACCAGCACGCTCTACGCCTGACACCTAAAACAGAAGACTTGTTTGCTTGCCTTATGCATGGATGAAACAAATCACAGAGATTTAGTTATGTGGAGAATCCATAAGGGCCTACTATCATGTTTGAAAAGGCTCCACACTCAAGCCTTCATCACCTCTGAAAGCATCAGTTCTTCTGAGTTACAGCTCATAGCCCTTCAAAAAAAAAGGTTTTGCCTGAGGCACACTCAAAGCTGTAGCACTCAGAGAATTGATGGCTGTGGCTGGATAGACTGAGGCCAGGAGTATCATCTGGCATGTAGATAACATAGTATGAATGAAATACACCAAAGTGCCTGTGCTTCTATAGAGATGGGTGTCACAAAACCTAGGAGATCATTGTTCAAGGGAGAACACAGAAGGATAGCGACAAAACATTCCTTGTGCAAGGGGCAGCAGCTCAGTCAGTAACAGCCTACCAGACACCATAGATCTTCCAGTCTCACTTATCATCACTATGCATTGCTTGCCTGAAAATCCATGCTAGAAGAAGAATAGATTTGATGATCTCATTGACCTATTACATCTCTAATTCCTGCAAACCTACAAACCAAAAATCCAAATAAATGCAACTTCCATGTGGCTAAATTTCCAGCAAAGACAGATCAGGATTTGTAACTTGTCTCTCATCTCTTCTTGCTGAACACCTTGTACTCATCTTAGCTGGGAGAAAAAAAAATGTTTCCTATCTTTCTTAGGCAAAATTTTCCTATTTTCAAAGTAAATCAGAAATTTGCTTAGAACAAAGGTGCAGTTTAATGATATTATCAGCTCACAAGGTTAGCTGGAAAACTTCCCTATCTGTAGGGAAAATGAAGTACATTATTACACCAAGAGGCTCAGCTGTTTTGGCTGTGTTCCTCTTTAAAGGGTGTCTAGCAAGTCTGCTGAAAAACCGAAACAGAAGAAAGGAAAAAGTATGCGCTTGCTTTCTAAGTATACAGCCAAAGCTTCTTCACAAAAAGAGAGTCTGAAAAGAGACAGAGATTTTAATGATCACCTTAAAGCCAGGAATTCCCTACCAGTTAAAGTCAGACCAAGCATTAGAACAGAACAATATAATCCACTATTGATTTAAAATAATAACAGTGAACACAGCTGTAAGGAACAGAGAAGGTGGCAAGCCTTTTACCTTTCCTTTCTAGAATTTGAAAGGGGACATAATTCAATTCTGACTAAGGAAACTAGGGGAATGGAACTGTGCCAGAAAAGTCTCCCCAAAAGGTGAGTCTAGGCAGAGGAAACTCCTCTTCAACATTCCAAAGAGTCCAGCCTTAGCAAGTAAAGGATGAGGAAAAAAATTTCTAACTTAACAGGGCAGTAATGTGCAGATAAATTTTAAATAAAGAAACCACCAAAACAACAAATAACAAAGTAGATAAGAATCAGTTGAGTGGAGGAGGAAAGAAACCACTTTTTAAAAAGATACATGTATTATTTTTGATGTACAAAGAGTTAAAAACATGAAAACACGTTGGTATTGACACAAGAACAATTAAGGATCAAAAGATTAAATTATGTTTGACTGATGCACTCCAGCTTTTAGCTTGATATCTCTCAGAATAAAAGTCATGTCTCAAGAAACAGATTTGTGTTATTTTTGCTTTTTTTTTTAAACTTCCTATTGCAACATTTTCCTGCAAGAAGAAAGACTGTGACTGTAAACATGGCTGCCTCTAGAGTCAGGAAGAGTGGATGCAGGTGGGAAGTGCAAGGCATTCCTGCGAGTGTGTGGAAGGAGGACTTTGGCTGCACAAATCCACCACGTCCTCTTGCAGGTGTGAAAGAAGGACTCACAGAGTATGGATAGGGACAAAGTGAATTTGATCCAAACAGAACACACTTTGAAGACATTTCTGACATCATGCCATCCCTAAATAATGAGCCAGTGCCTCAAGTTGAGCTGGTCATGTAACAAGCAGTAGAAATTCGGTATGTCAGATAGGAACAAATGACAAAAAATCATTGGAACATCTCACACCTGCACAAAAAGGAAACAATCTGACAGCTTTCATTTCCTGCTTGTTGCAGAACTACACTTTGGAACAGTTTGTAATCATACTGGAAATTTTACCTCTGCTGCAGAGCTTCAGAGCTTTCATACACCTTTGGCTTTCTTGTAGCTTCCATCATATTTTCTTTATTTGTTATGTCAGTCTTCCACTGCTGTACAGAAAGAAAGGGAGGTATTTCAACTCTCAAATTTATTTTTTCTACTTCATATGGTTTATTAAACTGGGACAATAAAAACATGGGAAAAAGAGCTGGAAGAACACACCTAATCAGCTTGTTTTAAGTTCTATTTCTTAGATGGAAAAAGAAAAAAATTAAAGCCACAAGCACCTATTTTGACAGTGTTTAGACTGAATATGAAGGAAAAGTAAAATGAACAGAGAGAACTGCAAATACCACTGATGATACCTTAAAACTCTTCAACAAGATAAAAATTACAGATTTTAGCAGAATTATTAACTTGGAGTATTTTTGCTCATGCAAGGTCAACGCCTTTTTCAATATACACCATGAAGAAACTTATGCATGTTAAACACCACAAATTTCATTGCTCTTAACAGGGTTCTCAACTTGCACAAAAAATATACTTTTTTAGTATACAGTGAAACATGCTGCTGTCAATGTTTCTAAATTGCAGATTTAAGCAATTAGAAATATATTTGAAATTTCAAGCACAGAATTTCCCTATGGAATATTATCCTATACTAGATTTTCAGAATTGTACATGGTGAGGACTTTCCCTAGATCTGTGGATTGAATTACAGTTATATTGGCAACACAAAATTATCACCTTTACTGTGCAAGGGTTCAGTGATGTTTTTTGGTCAGAATGAACAATTAAGGCATAATGCTTTGTGTCAGTTCAAGAGTTTCTGTTGCTTGTTGGAATTGCCTTTAGCCATTAATGAATAACAGATGTTAAACTTGTATTTCTACCATCACTTTCCTAAATAATAGGGACTTTGCAGAGAAGATTTCTGCACCTCAGCAGTATCGTATCTCTATGTGCCTCCACGCAAATAAAAAAAAAAGCTAACAAAGAGTAAGTAAAAGAAGGTATTAAAGACATCTGAAGGAATGACACACAGATCTTTGTCTCAAATTGTGACACCAGCAGCTTCCAGGCCATGTGAAAGGAAAACAAGGCAGATAATGGCTCTGATGAAGATACCACATGCATTGAAATTCTGTCCAAAGGGAAATGACAGAGTCTGCCATGCTTAATTTACTTTGCCAGCCTTTCATTTATTCAATGAAATATACCACAAATTTACTTTTCAGAATCCCTTGCATCTGAGACTAGAAAAGAA